GGGCGAGTAAGGGTCCATTCAAATGACAGTCCCCAGTCATCCCAGTCACCCTACTCACCCTGGTCACCCTAATGAGTGAAGGCTTGCTCCTTAATTCAAAATATATTAAAATGGGTCGCGAGGAGAGGGTTTTCAGGCTTTCGTCACACAGCCACCTCTTGTAAAGGTTTGCCATGTAGTTTAACGGTTATCCATTTACGGCTTTGCGACAAGAGCTTAGGGGCTTGTCGCTTTGGACTTGGATAATTAAATTAAAGATTCAGATTCACCGTGAATAGTTGCAGTGGCAGTGGTAGCGCAGCGGTAGTTTCTAACTGTTATCAGTTAGCCTGAATTTTAGCCGTCTCCCCGCAAACTCCTCCTGCGACTAGAGGAGACGTCTGAAATATCATGCTGACTGTAAACAGTATAGAAACTACTACGAATGTGAGTATTGTCCCCTAAAATCCAAGGACAGGAGCCCCTATACTCTTCTTAAGTTCACAGAGCCGCCTAGTCTGTAAGTAATTCATGTTCAAAGAAAGCAAAGCACCTCAAGTAAACAAATGTCGGTTATAAATAAGGAGACTATATGTTGGCTTGAAATGAGCTACTTACCGACTTGGCTTGACATGAAATACTGCACCGACATTTCAGACCATTGCAGAACCGTAAATGGATAACCGCCAAATAATTAACTCACGGCAAACAATTACAAGAGGTAACTGTGTGAGGAAAGCTCAAAAAACTCCCCTCCTCGCGACCCATTTTAATATATTTTGAATTTAGAAGCAAACCTTCACTCGTTACTGTCATTTGCATGAACCCTCACTCGCCCAACAAATTTTAATTTGTTGCGACAAAATATTGTTTTCTCATACTCAGCAGAGGATATCGGTTTCTTTTTCTTGATCACTTGATTATTTTTCGTTTTTCTTTTGTTATTTTACGTCATTATTAATTTTTACAATTTTATTTTATTATTATTATTTTATTATATTTTTTTTCATGAAAATTATTTTTATTTTTTCATGTTCCGGGATGTTCCGGGATGTTCCGGGATGTTCCGGAATGTTCCGGAATGTTCCGGCATGTTCCGTGTTCCGGGTTTTATCGACGGCCCTTCGCAATTGCGTTTTTCGCTGCCGTCAATCATAATTACGATCACAAGAAACGAACCTTGAAACACAGAAACACACAAAAAGGATCGAAATCCACTAATCACAAATCACAAACCCTGACCTTTTGAACCCGATAAAGAGGTCCGTTAAGATGATTGACGGCAGCGAAAAACGCAATCGTCAGTTGGCATTTGAACTTCAGAATTCGCATGTTTGTGAAAAGCGCAGTAATATCGCTAGACATTGCGAAAGCGTGACAAAGGCAGGAGAGTATAGGAAGATTGACAAGTTTTCTAAATCAAATCATTGCTTTACATCGCGCACGTGAAAATTTTGCAACGAGTTGTACTGGGAAAAAATGTTTTTCCCAATCAGTTGAAAGGAACCCAAACAAAAATGTCGCTTACGAAATAATAAATTTTCTTTTTCCTTTATCATCGCTACAGGTGTTTTAAAAAAACATTTTTTGCAACAACCATAAGCTGTCAGTTTTGCGATGTTTAGTTTCGCTTACAATTATCGCTTTTGTTTACAAAACCGCGATTCAACTCGCAGCACGGTTCCCATGTTAGGTTATCACATAATGTTCTGTGATGAATTTGCACCAATTTAGCTTTCCCTCTTCATGTTATTAGATTGTTTCAGTATTGATTCAAAAATATTTATAATATGTAGTCCAATTAAAAAACCACCGAACTTGGCTAGACAAGCATTCCTAAGATATCGAAGAAATCGTCACTGTTGACAAGCAAGGCGCTTCGATTGCGTGCCATTTGTCACGTGTCAAAGTTAAAATGTCACGTGCAAGGCAACAGACTGAAGGCGATTAGGCGAACGAATGCACGCTTAGCTCTGAGACTTTTTTCAGTTTTCAATTTAACATGTTTTTCAACGCAAAAGTAAAAAAGTAATGGAATTAAAATCAGCTAGAATAAATGTTCTTCATATTTCAGTAGAAGTGATTACCATTTCTGTTTCTATACGCCACAACACGAACCTATTCTTCACGGTCGCCAGCTTGGCGACTATTCTCCAAATCAAGTCGCCAGTTCCAAAATTTTAGGCGCCATGGCGACTAAAATGGTCGCAACTTTGAGGGTTGGACTAAGTCTTGTTTAATTTTGCGATGGATAGGTTAGCGCTATTGAGTGTTTCAACATTCTGGGCCAACGTGAGATACGTCTTTAGAAACAACGAAATGAATTAAGGGGTAAAAAATACAATCATGTAGCTCTTCCCAGATTCATCTAGCACTGGTTGATGAATTACCCATAGAGAAATAGTCTTTAAAAAAAAAAGAAAAAGAAAGAAAAATGGAAACGGGTTTTGAGAAAGACTAACTAATGTTTGACTCTAAGCTTTCATTTAGTCTTAAATATGATCTGATTTGTTGACTCCAAATGACTAGAATTGGGGCCAGCCGGATATCATGCTCTTTTTAAGTAGATCGATGTTGTTCTTGTAGTCTACCGTTCTTGACACTGTTGACAGCGCGTTTTGACGCAAGGATTGCCGGTTGACCAAATTCATAAGCGTTAATGTTTATAAACTTTAGTCTGGATATTTCACTCATCAATGTTAAATATTTAAGCCCAGCTACTCATACATATGTATACGGGTTTAACCACATGCTCCTCAATTCAAAAAAACAAACTAACTACTCTCGTCATAACCTTGAGCAACCCTGTTTCTAAACTTACGTACATACAGTAAGTTTAATCTTATTCCTCTTTTCATCAAAAACCATATTTCACACTCTTACCTTTGATAGTGGCGGGCATCTTGTCAATAAACTGGTGAAGCTCATTTGGATCAGCATCTTTTAGTTGAACAGTGTGTCCTTTTTGAAAATACCGCCTTTCCATCAGTTCACTAATTGTAACTGTATCCTTGGTGACCTTCATTGTAGTTTCAGGCAGAATGCGAAACTGAAACGGTAAGGAAAGATAATGATATAATTTAAGTTATATTGGCTATAGTGGCAGCCGTTTCTGTAAAATAACAACTAAACAAAACAATTCACAGCCCATTTCACTGAGATCTCACTTGCTACAGGATAAACAGTTATGCCCTCAGTTACAGCACAATGAGTTCGATATGTTCTGCTCAAAATCATTTGTCAAGACTGCTCATATTTATATTTTCGTTCTTTTTTTTTTTCACCATACATTATCTTTCTTTTTCTAGATTGGTAAATTTTCGGTCCTCAACTTAAAACTTAATGTACGGACCAAATCTGCACTTTAAGTGTTATTGTCAGAGAAAACCGGGCAGGAGCAAAAGATCGAGGTCAGCGGTCCACCTTTTAACCATGTAAAAGCCACCTGAAAAGATTATCAACGGTGGTATTTTCAGAAGGTGGTGGGTTTTTTGTTTCAAGATAAAATTCTTTCTTATAATCAGGGCCCTCCACGGGCATAGAATGGGTTGATTTTCGGCCAACTTTTGTTGAACCTATATGAAAGATCGTTAAGTGAGAAAATCTTGCCATAGGTTTTTTCACACCTCCAACCCACAATAAACTGATTGAAGTCTAACAATCTTTCTTGCGCTGAACTATATCTTTTCAATGTCGCACTTAATATTAACACCTAATTGATAACGAATGTGAGCCAAATTTTAGCCATTTTCGCGATGCTGTTTGTCAAACGTGCGTGGTTTACTTTTAAAGAACATTATTGTATCAATAGCCTGTTGTACCTTTATTAAAATACCGCAAACTTAAAATTGGTATCTCTAAGTAAATCGCTAAGGCCGACGTCGAAAGTTACACGAAAATGCCATTCAGCAAAAACTTTTCCCGCCAAATTTTCAGGGAATACATAAATACAAAAATATTTTTCTGAACGATAAGTCGAAAATTTACTAAACAGTCTTCAGCAAACGTAATTAGGTTCTTTAGGTACCCGTGGACGAGTATTTTCTTCAAAACATCGACATAGGTAATCTTTTAAGCACTTGAAACATGAAACACCCCTTATACAAAACTGATTTTTTTTTCCGCGCTTGAAATAATTTATGTGGCACGCTGCAGTGAATCCCTGCAGATTTATATTACGCAGAGTTCGAACTTCACAAGCATAAGAAAAACCATTCAAAGCTGATAATAAGAGGGTGATCTGAAAAACTGTGTCAATTCAGTAAGGGAAAATATAAATATATCAGACTAGCCGTCTTGTTTACATCTGTAGTGGTGCCAACTGTTATGAACTATTTTTAATGAGTGCTTTTTACACTTCCTTTGCCTCACAATATATGTAATGCCCAAATGTAATTCTTAAAGCTCTATCAAACACAGAGCTTTCACACTTAAAATTAACTATCGTTAAATTTTTTTTCTTTTTCTCCGAATAAGAAAATCAGTCAGCGTCGATTGTTAAAGCGTAACAAAATTTCGGTACGGACTAGCCTAGCAGTAAAAGTGACGTTGTTAATAATAGCTGACACATCAAGAAAAGGTAGTTCCTATTGTTACAAGTGAGTTCACCCAGTATCTTTAGTTAAACTTTCCAAGGCCACGTGCTTTATAAAAAGGTTTTTCGCATATTTCGTTCTCAACAGTACCTCTAATAAGTCCTTGATACCAGTTAATTAGACACCGTTAACAACAAATCGAATCGGGATTGTTTTCCGATTGGAAGCAAACTGCAAGCAAAAAAAATAAAAATGCTTTCTACTGTCTGGTTGATATCACATTTTAACTCTGAAAATACGAAAGTAAATTGTAAATAAGGTACAACTCAATGTTTGTTCTGACTGTGAACAAAGTATTTACTACGTAGGGCTATTTCGAAAGACACCACAGGTCTCCATTGCAGGCTGCACCATAATCCGTAATATTTAAGAATATATCGCAAAAAATCAAGAGAGTGATTCGTAGATTTAACGATGGCATGCGCGTTAACGCTCATTTTCCTCACGCGTGAAACAGGTGCATCCTTTAGCATATGAATTTAAGAGTTCGATGAATGATTTCTTTCTCGCTAGTGAACCAGAGACCTCTAATTGAAGACTTTCGCACATTTCTCTCAGCTCAGCTACTATCAGTACGTTGAGTTTCTTCGCTTTTGAAAGTTCGCACAAGTTCCTGTTTCGGACAACAATAGGATGCTGAGGTGCAGTCACTTGAAGGTTTATTGCTATAAGTAGATTCTCAAGCACAATTTCATTTTCTAGCGCTTCTAAATCCGGGTCCTCCTCTGTAAATTCCTGGCTCGTAGCATATTCACTCGTATCTTTTTCCATTTGTGTCTGTCGCTGGACATCTGATAGCCTTGAGAAAAAACTATTTATCTGCTGTGCTGTTATCCATTCCTGTGGGGTGAACAGCAAATGTCCAGCATAGTCCTTAACGATTTTCATTTCCCGAGCGACCTGAACCGGATCTGCCTTTTGCCCAGTTCTACAGCCTGTGTCAAACTTCTGAACCAAATACGCTTTTACATGAGCCTCCATTCTCGACGGCTTCTTCACCGTTTTGAGTGCCCATCCCATTGGCTGTTGATCTTTTTTGCTCAAAGAGGGATATGAAAAGTCTAGTTCTTCTGCGGAGTAAGTTCCAGTTTCATGAAAGACGGCTACATTAACTCCGGTAAGCCTCTCAGCCCACTTTTTTCTGATGCTATCATACAGGGACTCCGATTCTAACTCTCTTACGTGTTTTCCTGAATCCATGTGTTGTTCAACCTCTTCGAGTGTTTTAAAACTGAGAACACATGCAGTTTCCGTGGACGGGAAAATTTAAGTGAGAGGCCGAGTGTTTTCTGCAATAGTACCTCGTTCTTTCGTTCTGGCACCAAAAGGTTGAATTACCTTCAGTCCAGTGTCCCCTTGCCTTTCGATAATTACTTTGTCATGCGGAATGAAACAACCTGGACCAACTTTGTACGCTCTCCAAGCCCTTTCCTCAAATAAGAAGTTGTTCAGAAGGCTGATTCCAGGGATTTTGTTTTCCACACCGACCGACTTTGTGGTATCAACTTGTACAACAGCTACTCTACAGCCTTTGAGGCCACCGTGGGATTCTAAAGCCTCTTTCATATTTTCCGCAGTTATCACGTCATGCTTCTCATTCACCCATCTCTTGATGTGAGCTTTCATGGGGGCAGTTTTCCTGTCGCAAATATCTTTTCCGGCTTGGGGGTCGGAAAAGTCGTAGCGTAATGGTATTACACCAGATCTTGTCCCGATGTACGGAAGGCTGAGGATCAAGGGCCCACTGTGATAACAACCAGCGTTGTCGGATCGTAAAAAAGCTTTGTTAATTGAAGGGTACTCGATCTTGATGGTGTTGAGTAGATGCTCAATGACTGACATAACCGCGAAGCTGTTTTGCTTGCAAGTGTTGAAGAGATGCACAAAGCATTCAACTTCACATTTGCCCTCCTCTTGTGAGCGTGTTATGACAGCACTAATGTGCCAGCTCCTACCCCGTTTGCCGAAAAACTCAGACATCTGCTCTCTGTAGTGCTGCGGCAGATATTTCGTCGCCCAGTCCATGATAATCAGGCACGTTTCTTCGTCAAGCTGAGTAAGAGCGTTCTGTTTTGCTTCTTCCTGGTTAACAGAACGCAGTAAATGTGCTTTCCAGGCTTGGACTGCTCGAGAGCACTCGTTATTCTCGAAGTTTATTCTTGCTCTCGTTTCGTCGCTGATGACTAGGTCATCGATCTTCTTTAATATGTCGCGGAAATTCGAATCAAGGGAGTCACATCTATCACAGTGAATGTCATGGGGATGTGGACATTCTTCACAGAAGTCAGGATTCTCCAGGTCGCTTAAGGCATGTACGGTACAATGGTCGCTGTTGTTTTCGTTTCTACCCACGTGCGTTTTATAGTCCGTCTTCTTTTTGCTTCTTTCAAGTCTCGCCGCATTGTTTCAGCCCAATGCCCTTCCTCCCCGTTTTCCACTAAAGTATCGATAATTGGGCGCAGGTTGTCAAATGCTTCAGTCCCTTGCGCTGTGATGTTATCAAGCCCATAAGGGACCTCTGCATTGACGCTGAGCAAATTTCGAGCATTCTAAACAGAGAACGTGTGCTTGCCGGCTCAAAATGCTGCTCTCTGCAGTAGCTTGTGTACTGTTCGATAATTCTAGAGGGAATCAAGGTCCGCACAACAGCCGGAATGACAATGCGTTCACCAGAGTCAAGCTTAAGAGTTTTTGTTGCAAATGCAACATCTTGATGCAGCTGTGGTTGTAAAATATAGCTTATGAAATGATCAACTTTTCCCTGATCAATTCTTTTTCGGAAGATTGTTTGTTCGGGAACAACTTGTCCTTTTCCTGCCTCAGTGGCATGCTGACGAGCCTGGTCAATTCTCCACTTAGTTATACCAGGGATTAAAGTTTGCAATTCTCTGCGGGCTAAAGTCATTTGCGAAAAGAGATAGGATCTGTCGTTTAGTTTGCCACGACTCCGCTTGATCATAGGCTTTGATTAAGACATCAATGAGCCCAGTGTTTGTGTCGAAATGCTTTCTTTTGGATGAGCTACTCTCGTCCCTCTCGATTATGTCTGAATCATTTTGGATACATTTCCACAGGCCTTTTTTCTTGCCCAGGGCTAATGACTGACAGCGTAGCTGCAACAGCTTCCCTGGCCTTGCGAATATAGTACTTTTGCTGGGTAGATGAAATATCGTCCCATGATGCATTTAAAGTAGAAAGGATGGGACTGAAGCGTCCACTTGTCAGGTTTCCCAGGGCATCGTTTAGTGCCTGTCGTCTCTCATTTTGGATTTCCTTCTCGTCGCACCAAATGCTTACTTCTTCCTCAGGAACACTGATTTGAGAGACCTGCGTCAACAGAGTCTCGTCTGCGTGTTTGTCAAGTGGCTGAACATCTTCACTCATGGTAGCTTCACATTCTATTAATTCTACCTCCTCATTTCCTCCTGGAGTTGTCACAAAGCTTTGCCCTGAAGAAGACTGCACACCAGCTTCCTATAAAAAAAAAAATACATAGATGATAAATAACGATTACCAGCCAAGCGTTGGTCGAATAGTTGAATTCATTGACACGAATTGGCAATCTTCGCCCTTAGTATACGGCGTTTATATGTAGTTACATTGAAAGCACTTCTTCTCCTATTCTAAAGTTTCATTATTGGTCAGTTCTTAGATCACAGCAAACTAGTTGATGACATCTAACTAGCCGGGAAGTGGATTAACTAACGTCATTAGCCTGGGACCAGGCTCCGTAGTGGGGCGAAAAACGAAATATCAGATCAGCAAGGGCGAAAATTAACCGGCGAATGAAGTGAACCAAGCGGTAGTCTGAAAAGGGGAAAGGGTGGCGTCTTGTTTCCACTCGTTTTTCTACCTTTTTTTCCCACCGCGGAGCTTAGTCCCAGATTATAACGTTATTTATTTTTCACATCTTAACTCATGTAAACGAACTCATGTTCTTCACAAACTAGTCCTCACTACATAAACGCCACTTAAACAGGCTGCCACCGAGTTCCAAAACGCTCACTTTCAAAATGAGGCCAAGTGCACAACCTCTCTTGTGAAAATGAGTTTTATTTGCATGAGCATGAGAATAAAAAATTATTTGCATGTTAAAGGCTGAGCACTTAATCTCGTTTTGATACAGAGGCCCGAGGCAACTCGGAAATGGTCTATTATTCCTCAGAAAATAAATAACGTAAACTATAGCATAAAACATGCAGCCCATAATAGAAGAAAATATTTCAGTTGCTTCAGTTGGTAAGACCAACGCATCTTTAAGATGGGGTCATCGTGAGTTCGAATCCCGTAATGTCAAATTTTTGACGAGGATTACTCGTCAAAACAAACGTTATACGAACATGGACTTGTTTATCCCCTTTGGGTTAGAATTTAGGGACTCAGACCGGTCTTCGGGGAATGCTTGGTTCAAATCCCTTCGTTCACGTGTTTTTAGCATTGCAAATATCACACTTTTTTCCCAATTTTAATTTCATCGACAGTTCCAACTATATAATGTAAACTTCTAGTAAACTCAAGTTATTAGTAAGTCAACCCTCGCTTTCGTTCACGACTGGACTTTATACAATGCTACTAAGCTGACCTGTTCCATGCCTTCATCCAAATGTACATCGAAATCACTTTTCTCGCGCTTTTTATAGTGTTCCAGCCTACAACTTGTGCAGATTGCTATCAAGAGTAATCAACAACAGAAAACAATTAGAATCGCAGCCTACTCATTTCAAAGTGCCACACCCGTACCACTCCCTCCCAGACACTTTAGTGGAAATGAACAATGCAAGAAGATTACAATTGTTTTTGCTATGCCAGCAGTATTTTTTGCTTTAATTTTTATATTAACATTATACATGATTACTGAAAGGTTTGTGTGAAGAGTTTTACATATTACTGATAATACTCTCACCAGTCCAATTTTTATATGAGGCATAAATCGCAGACTCCCTATGGCAAGCGCGCAAATAGCAACTTTAAAGAACTTTTAGATAAGATTGGTTTTTGATAAGCGTGAACGTTATCAATCTCGCTTTATTCTATCGGCGTTTTTTTATTCCATTGGCATATATGTTTTGTAATTCGTGTAATATTATAGTGAATCGCCATTCCATGGTTTTATGCTGTTTACTTTGGCTCAATATAACATGCCTCTAAAAACTGAATTACTTGCACATGAATGAACAGTCCAATGAACAGCACGTATCAGACGTTCCATAACCTAAACAGCAAGTGAGTACGCGAGAATTAACTAAATGTATAAAGAGAAGTCTCCACTCACCTGCCCCGATCGGAACAATCTCCTTGAACTCAACAAATATTTCTGCTGACATTTTTGCATTAACACGCCTGGGAAGATTAAGTCGCTTTTTCAACCCTTAATGAGCCGGGTAACAGCAAATGCAATTCTTACGGCCAGGCCAGTCGGTAGTTAAGTGTTTTCTATGTTTTAGGCAGATGGTTAAAGCCTCTTTTTCATCCTCTCTTAATATACCAATACGTCCCGCCCGGTTTAGAATCAGTTCCGATTCGCTGACTTCTGCCTCTCCTCGACCACGCTTTCCACTAATTCCAAGATTTACGAGGTGCGAGGTCATATCTCGTTTGCACGCCAACAGCGGGAGAATAGCAGATCCAACTCCACTCTCAGGACACGAAGATTCTTCCGTTGAAAACGAACAATTCATGATTACAGATTTAAGCTGACCGTTATCCAGTAAAGCAGACACTTTTTCGTCGGAAGGCTTACGAGACTAAATAAATCAATCCTACATGCAGATGAAAACACCCTGATCTTATCATGGTATTATGTAAACAACCGTTTTTTTCCATAGACATCACCAATTAAACACAGTTTTACATCTTTCTTCTTATAATTAATTTACTAATTGCACTGTTCAGCAAAGATGGACAAAGTATAAACGTCGAATAAGTTCACAGGGGTTCGATGTAGCGTGACACAACAAAGTATTTCGCGGGAAAGTTGGGTCAATTTATATCATCAATTGAAATCTGATTTTATTGAATTAAACGCATCTACTTTATCAAGATTATTCACAGCCCATTTCACTGAGATCTCACTTGCTACAGGATAAACAGTTATGCCCTCAGTTACAGCAAAATGATGAGTTCAATATGTTCTGCTCAAAATCATTTGTCAAGACCGCTCATATTTATATTTTCGTTCTTTTTTTTTCACCATAACTTATCTTTCTTTTTCTAGATTGGTAAATTTTCGGTCCTCAACTTAATGTACGGACCAAATCTGCACTTTAAAACCTAAGAATACAAGAACCTGTTTAGGCAAGCTAAATATAATCAAGCAGGTTCTTCTGGTTAATTTTTACTGTTAAATTATGATAAACAATTTAACAAAGGAGTGTAACTTTAAGTTGTAAATTTAAGTACAACAAAAACATACTGTACTAAACTGTATGATATTCGGTAATAAGTTTTGTTGGGGTTATCATAATTGTGAATAAACAGAAAATTTATTTATTTTTCTCATTATCAACAATCTATTATGTCCTTCATGAAAATTACTTGTAAAAACCTAATTAAGAACCTACCTAACCTAAATTACCAATAAGTACCCCAAGAAGAACAACCTACCTCAAAAAAAGGGACCTTCTTATCACCGGGTATTCACACCTTATTTAACCATAGACTGCGAAACGCAGACGTATTTCCGGTCGTCACTTCGCTCCCTCTGAAAAACCGGACATACATATGCGTTTTGCAGGCTAATTTAACCAAGACGCCATCAGCTACAGTAAAATTTGTGCAATATGTTTAGCTAAAAATCATTTGTCAAAACCGTAGCCTTGCAGCTCTTTAGAACCTCTAATTTGTTTGGATTCCTATGTGTCGCAGCTCTTTTGTTTCGGGCTAGGTTCCATTGTTACTTTGTTTGTTCACTGCTTTATTCTTAGCTAATCCCTATGAGGTTGCCCAGTATACACTAGACCATGTGGTCCGTGGCTCGTCCCCAGGCCTTTAGGAAGAGGGCAACACCACATCTCCCTCAATTCCCTACCGTGAGCAAGCCAGGCAACATCTTCTCTCCCCGACATTAGATGAAAGATTATAGTTTAAATGAACTTGAGTTAATATCTTGTACTTTTTAATAGTTTTTACATATTTTAGCTTTTTAATGTCTTTGCGAATTAGGAGTATTTTGTATTTTTTTTAAATTTTATGAGATCCTTTTTGAAAACCATATTTTATATGAACAAGTAATCTCAATAAAGATTATTATTAGATTATTATTAATTTGAACAGAGAAGGGTAATAAGAGGTAAAAAATATATTAAGATGATAACTATTTTTATGCAAGACACACACAAAACTCATTATCGGACTGACTTAATAATACCTGAAGAATAACTTTGTGACGTAGGGTAAATTTTACTTGACAATAACGGCCATTGTCGCATCATTTCAGGTTTCATGGAATACTATTTGGTGTGAATTTTAACTTGTACAGTGTACAAGAAATGGAGCATTAAAAAAGTCTTAGTTATCAAAGATTATCATAATAATACCGATCAAGAAAGTCGACAGGCTCACAGTTCAATGCACAGAAAGTTGTTAAGTGAGCTTTGAAATCAAAAAATTAAACTTGAACCAATAGATGAAACAAATACAATAAAGCTTCTATTCAGGGGACACCCTCAGGACCAAAGCAAGTGTCCCTTGAATAGAGGTTCCCCCTGATTAGAGGTTGGGCTGGGGTTTGTTAATAATTAACCAACAAAGACAGCATAAAAGAATCATCATTACGGACTTTAAGATGCCACGGTGATGACAAAGAGAACGTCAAAAAGGCAATAGGTTGAAATGAATCTAGGCAAAGCAACAACTCTGCACGTTTTTTGTACATTTTTTTAGCCATCACTGCACGACTAGGACAGGAAAATGCCACATTTCACGTTTTATGGAGGACGTAAACAAGCGACGGCGAAATTTCCTTTCTCCTCATCAGGGGCGTAGCTAGGGGTTCACAGCGGTCAAACGACTGAAATTTGCAAAAGTTAAGCGAAATACTTCAAAGTCAAGGTTGCTACTTTCACTATGGAAAGTTTAAGGTATTACCAACATCCTGTTAGTTTACTAAACTTTTTTAAAGTTTACTAAAAAAGTTCTAAGTGATTGAAAACCGATGCTGACGTTATTATCGGCGCCATTTTCAAACATGATTCTCTTTTAGCTCGAAGCGTTTTCAGCGAAAAAAGCTCAAAATTTTGAGAAAAATAGAAAGATAGTTATGTTGACTAACTGATTTATACATCTTTGCCCATTTTTCTCTAACTGGTTAATGAAATCCCAGCAATAAAAAACAAAAATAACGATTTAGACGTTTGACCGCGGTGGTAGCTAGGGGATGGTTCTTGGGTGCAAACCCCGGTGGTGGGGCCAAAACGCACGCATCTGAAGAATCAACATGCAATAAATCTTTTCCAGTGCTAGATTGTTAATTACTACATTTACAGTGGACCATGTTCCTTTTCATAACTAAAATAGAGCAATTTATGCTATGTGGAACGTAATTAACCTATGCAGCTAGTTTGTAGGCTTGTCGTTTAGTAAAACACGGCCTGGATGTCGACATACCAATCTGGTAAGTAGCCTGGGTTTGACATAGTGATAGTGTTAGCCCAGCCCCCCTCCCTCCTTGAAAAATCTTAGCTACGCCCCCGTTCCTGAACTTGAATATGATTCTTAGGAATTTGGCTGACAAAGACTACGCTTACATTTGACAAAGTAAATGGTTGGAGTAATAGCGATAGAGACTGAAAGAATGGAAATTCACTTTTTAAGCGACGAGGTATCTTAATAAACTCCCTACTATTTTATTTTCATTTTCTTTTTTAATTTAATTTTTTTTGATCGGTAACACCTATACAGAAATGGTAATACTGAATAAACTTGTTGATGTTATTGCTATAATTATATGTTGAATTCACACAAGTGCATTTTATTGATTTATGTGAGACACTTCAGTTTGGGAAAGCTTCCATTTTTGATGAGTGTGCTCTTAAAGATATCAGCCCTCTTTTTGAGTGCTGAGGTTTCTCCTGTAATAATGGAGGTTAAAATAAACCCAGGTTTCCGGACCCAGAAAAAGTGTCCCTTTCCTCTGAATAGATGTCACTCGTCCCTTTAATTGAGGTTACCTAATAAATACAAAGATTATGCGCACATTTTCCGGGACTAAATTTTGTTTCCCCTGAATGGAGGTGTCCCTAAAGAGGATGATCAATTGTACTGTTTGCTCAAATAAACCAACATGGATGAGGTTGTTAGCATATATATACTGCATGGGGTAATGGTTCAACAAAATCTTGATTCCTTTCTCAAGTCTAAAATACAATTTATTAAAACCTACCACATTTTCTTAAGTTGAATTAATATCAGTGCAGTGAACACACTTGGGTGGTGGCACTTTGAGATTTAAAGAGATATCTTGTTTTTAGGTAACTAACTGTCCTTGTGAACATGACTTGTGATTGGCTGATTGTTATTGGGTGCGGCGCTTTGGTTGAGTTCATTGCACTTTACAACAATACTGTACTATAAACAAGCTAGCCTGCACAGTAGACACTTTAAACTGTCTTTAAACCAACTATATCTATACTGTACACAATACGTGGGCCGTCTGCACTGCAGGCTATAAACAAGCTAAAAGCCAGATGATATAAAAAGCAGCATTATCTGTCAGCTCTAGTTCACCACTTCTCCTAGCTACTTACAATAAACGCACTAATATGATCAAAGAAAGTCCTTTGCAATTTCTTCTGACTCTAAAACCTGTACATGAAACAACATACTCTATGAGTATGTTTAAACAATAAACTGCTTTCTTTTGAAAAATAAACTTAAAGTCAAAATATATTATATTACATGTTATATCCCAAAAGGTCTCACCCAACCCAGTACTAATCCCGCCTGACAGAGCTTAACTTCACCGAACAAACAGGGCAAGGGAACTGTGAGAATGTTATGAACCAAAACCAAAATTAAATACTCATGAATGATATAGCAAAAATAACATAGGCTGCTGACTTTGGGGACCTCAATATAAAATAATATTATTATTTCAGATCCCAATAACTAAAAGAGTTAATTTTCATACTGGTACTGTATAAGTCATACAGTGGCTTAGAAAGAGATAATAGCAAGCCAAGAAGAGAAAGTTTCTTGAACTATTTTTGAACTATAGCAGTATACATGCAGTTTGTTTTTGTAACTGCTATTTCAATTTCAACCTCAGAAACCCAAGGACAGCTTACACAGTATCAGCACCACAGGAAGAAAAACAATCAAAAAATCTTACATCCTGTGGACCAGCCTTTGGCAGATTTAGATCTGGAAAAACAACATGGAAAGGTAATTCAACGAAGAGGAGGAGGTCGAGGAGCAAGAAATAAGTTATTATAAAAAGGGATGAAAACACTATCATCACTTGTTGCCCATTTGCCAGCTATATAGAAACGCGTTTTATTGTTCTGAGTATTCAGATAAAAATAAT